TCCTCGTCCGCGCACGTGCTTCCTGCCGTGCGCTGCGAAGGCGCCCCCCTCGCTGGACGCCCCCCGCACGAGCTGGTGCTGGTGCTGGTGCTGGTACTGGTGGTGCTGGTGCTGGTGCTGGTGCTGGTGCTGGTTGTGATGGTGGTGGTGGTGGTGGTGGTGGTGGTGGTGGTGGTGGTGGTGGTGGTGGTGGTGGTGGTGGTGGTGGTGGTGGTGGTGGTGGTGGTGCGGCGCGGTGGTGGCGGGCGGATGGGCGCGCGAGAAAGAGGCCCGCGCTGTGGCGAGAACGCCATCTTGAACGACGGAGGCCAAACACCGATCCGAAAATGAGGCCCACGCTGCAGCGGGAGCACGATTCGGAACGATTCGGGGGCAGAAATGAGGCCGCCGCCTCAGCGAGAGCAGCATTTTGGAAAAAAACGCAAGCGAAAACCCAACTCCCGGGAATCTTGTGTGCAAAAAAATAGTACGCGGGGGGGGGGGTCGGCCACTCCCAGCATGGGCGCGCGATGAGAAGAGGCCCGCGCTGTGGCGAGAACGCCATCTTGAACGACGGAGGCCAAACACCGATCCGAAAATGAGGCCCACGCTGCAGCGGGAGCACGATTCGGAACGATTCGGGGGCAGAAATGAGGCCGCCGCCTCAGCGAGAGCAGCATTTTGGAAAAAAACGCAAGCGAAAACCCAACTCCCGGGAATCTTGTGTGCAAAAAAATAGTACGCGGGGGGGGGGGTCGGCCACTCCCAGCATGCCATCAGGGGAAGAGGGATAGTAGTATTCATATTGAGTAATTGTGGAGGAGGAGGAGATTGAAGGAGGGGGGGAGGGAGGGCGGAGTGCGAGATCTTCTCCAGCGCAGCGCCGGCAGTTGGGGCTCAGAGTGGGACGAGGCTATTCGGCCTGCGCGTCCCCTGTCGCGGGCACCCTCGGCGAAAGCATGCGTCGTGAAAGGTCACACCAGGGGTGCTGTTATCGCTGGAGCGCCTGGAAGAGGCGGGAGGACGGAGGGAGGATGCGGGACGGGGGCGGCGGAGGGGTGCCGAGGACGGGGGAGGGAGGGCCGGAGGGGAGGACGAGGAGCCTGGAACACGGGCGGCCGTGGGTCCGAGGACGCAGGCCTGGACAGGAGGGCAGCGCGACGCGCGGGGCACTGGCCGTGCGGCGGCCTCGCGCGCAGGGGGCAGGCCCAGGGGGGACGCATCGACCCTCCTCCTCCTCCTCCTCCTCCTCCTCCTCCTCCTCCTCCTCCTCCTCCTCCTCCTCCTCCTCCTCCTCCTCCTCCTCCTCCAAGCCCGTGCGCCCACGTCACCGCGGACAGAGGCCCGCTCGCCCGCGCACTCCCCGCGGGGGCGTGGCCTCCTCGCCGACCCTCGGGGGAGCCGTGGCCGATCCGTCGGCGGCCCGTCGCCGAGGCCAGCTCGGCATGGCACCCCCCCACTGAGCGAGTGCGTGTCGGGGGCGGCAAAGAGGAGGGGGGGGAGGACTGGGGGGGGGGATATCTAGGGGGGGGGGATGACTAGGGGGGGGGATGACTAAGGGGGGGACTATGGGGGGGAGGGATGACTAGGGGACTAGGGGGGGATGACCAGGGGGGGATGACTAGGAAGGGAGGGATGACTTAGGGGGGGGATACCATGGCGTGGGCCACGGTATCTCCTCAGAGTTCATGGCGCGCCGCTTCTTTTCCCATTGCGTCCCCACCCCCCCCCCCTCCCCCCCGGGGCCGCGCACGTGCCGCGTCGGTCATGGTGTGCACCCCCCTCCCTCTTGGACGCCCCCCTCTTTGGCCGCCCCCGAGGAGCCAGTTAGCGAGTGAGTGAGTCGTTGATCTGTGCATCGCGAGTGCGCCTGACAGCAGCGACCCTTCCCAGCAGCACGCACCTGCTGCCCTTTGCCCAGGCGATCTCCGGCCCCGCCCCGTGGAGCCCCCTCGCGCGGCACCGTCGCCGTCACTTACTATTTTGGAGTATTGTTTGAGTATTCTTTATTTTCAGTCGAAAATCCCTCTGTAGGGGGACACGCCCGACTTAAAGCCGGTTCCCCCCTCGCTTCCCGTCCTCCCGCTTTCTGTCGTCTCCACGCGTGGGGGGGTCGTCGCTGCTTCCCCCTCGGCCTCGGCGTCCTTCCTCGTCCTTCCTCCTCCTCGGCCCCCTCGGCGTTCCCCCTCCTCTCGGCCCCCTCGGCGTCCTTCCTCTCTCCTCCTCCTCGGCCCCCTCGGCGTCCTTCCTCTCCCCTCCTCCTCCTCGGCCCCCTCGGCCTCCTTCCTCTCCCCTCCTCCTCCTTCCTCTCGCGTCCCCCCTCGGCCTCGGCGTCCTTCCTCGCCCCTCCTCCCGTCTTCCTCTCGGGATCCGCCTCGAGGGGCCGCGCACGCAGAAGCAGGCCACGAGAGTCCCCCCCCCCCACCTCATCGCTGCCCCTTTCTGTCCTGGAGGAGGAGACGGCGCGCCGATGGGGGAGCGAGAGAGGGGCCCGACGTCCTCGGAGCGCGGCGGGGCTTCTCGCGAGCCCCGTAGGGCCCTGCGGGGGCCCCGTCGGGGCCGCGGGGAGGCGGGGCGGGCCCCTCGGTGGGCCCCGGGGGCCTGTGAGTCTCCCGAGAAGCACTGCCCTGGAGCAGATCCCCATCCTGCAGTCGGGCATGGCCCTCGACATGAGGAGTGTCCAGAAATCAGGCAAAGAATAGTCCGGGGGCGATGTCTCGACCAGTCTTGGACTGTGTTTGAATCTGTGTTGGCTGTGTGCCAGCATTATTCCACAACCCGCTTGTAGGAGACCCCATCCCTATGATTGGCATCGCCTCGTCTCGATGCCGATCGTAAGGTCCCCCTTTCTAGAGATTGGGACATAGTCGAGGCCGGTTGCCCTCTGCATTTCCCCCTTGGGCGCGCCGCCGTTGGAGGCGGCGGCCTCCAGAGGAGGGCGACCTCCACCTGCTGCTGTCGCTGTTGTTGCTCCTCCCCTGGGGCTCCCCATCCTCATTATCATTCTCTTCTTCCTCCATCCAGCCCTTTGGGTTCAGGTAGTGGCGCGTGGCTCCGATCGCAGATCTTCAAAGCGGCTGTGTAACATCCGGCCATGTGGGCGTGCAGGTCGACAGCGCGAAAACACCACCGGCAAGTCTCCTGTGCCCATGGCTCCGTCAGCTGGCCATTGGCCTAACGGGACTGAGCTCCGCACTACTGTGTGCCTTATCGCACTGGCGGGGCGTTTCTTCAACAAGCCTGATCGAGTGCTGCGCTTCAAATGCCGACGCTTCAAAGGTAGCTGCCTCCACTCGCACAAGCAGCCAGCCGCTCCCAGCTCCAGCGCTCTTTCGACGGGTCAGGACCCCAAAGGTGGCGGAGACAAAGGTGACCCTCCCTGGGCCAGGTCTGCAGAGCCGCGGTCGGCCCAGGACATTCTTGTCAGGCTTGAGAACCAGATCGAGACCTTTCCCGAACCTAGAGGTGACGCGATGGATGTGAAAAGGGCCAGGACAAACTTGCGTGCATGCTGAGCCACAGGCTCGGCAGTATTATGAAGGGCGTGCGAGGGCTCGAATTGCAGAGCTCTGGTCGACATGGTCTCCAGATGCGAAAGTGAGGCATGCGCCCCGCTGCAGGCGAAGGTCAACAGCGTAGATCCAGCCACGACGCAGATGTTTTCCACTACCAGGCAGGTTGAGAAGATCGAGAAGCAGACTGGCAAGCAGCAGCTGCTGGGTGAGTAGCAGCAGGTCAACATCGAGTCGCTGCAGACAGAGCTTCGAACGCAGGACGCTTCCACCCAGGACGCGCGCACCAAGTTCGTGGAACTGCGCGCCAAGCACTTGGAGCCGACCAGGCAGGCCACGGTGCCTCCGCAAGGGAATGCCCGCGAGTCGACGATGGCACCGCTCGCGGCGCGGGGCCTGGATGCGACCAATTTCGGCGATGTGTTGCGCACGTTGGGCGCGGGGGAGCAGGCGATGGTCGCGGCCGGAAAGATAGCGCTTGCCTTGGCTGCCATCTTCCAGAACGCGTCCGTGCAGGTGGTGGGGAGCACCCGTGACCCTCGCGGACAAGCTGCCGAGTCTTCTCGCGATGGCCAGGTGCACCCTGAGGCCCCTCCTCGCCTTGATCCCCCTCCGCCCCAAGGGCCTGCGGTGGCGGATGCGGACGCCGAGGAGCTGAGGGCGCCGCTGCGGGAGGCGGGTGTTCCGGTGCAGGAGGAGGACCTCGCCATGCTCGGCAACCTTTCGCTCGCCGTAGATGCGGGACTACAGCGAGTTCAGTCCAATTCCGCTGTGTTGAGTGGTTGGCTGGCCTGCTATGCGTGCCAGTTTTTGGCATCGCGATGATGGGCAGCGCGGTTGGTCAAGGGGGTGGGGGGGCCAGTTGTCCCAGCTACCTGGGCATCGGCTCGTGGCTCGAAAGCGTGGTTTTTCGCATCGATCGGGGCGCTCGCTGACCCTCGGAAGGAGGGGGCTCCTCGGCCGGCGGAACCCGCGCATGACACGGGGACATTCCCATCCCCATCGCGCGGGACCCAGTCGGGGGGAATCGCTGGAAGGCCAGCAGATGTCGCCACATGTGCTACCACCCCACGGGGAAAGGGGCACCCCTGTTGTCCGATCAGCTGGTAGCCTGCATGCCGCGGCGACGGCGAGTTCGCGGACTGCGCCCCGCCCCCGCTCCAGCGCCCGACGCGGCGAAGACAAACTACGCGTCGGGATCAGTGGTCGGGCCCAGCCTGATGGACGGGAACAATCACTTGACTGCGCAGGGCCTGGTCGCGACAGCCACTGGCGACAGCGCCGGCTCGTTCCTCCAATGCGTAGACGGAGCACGATCGGCCATGGATTTGGCACGAGTTTCTGGCACCGCTGATGCTCGATTGCTCTCTCTGGCAAATGCAGGTCGAGGGCGTCGTGGAGTGCGCGGTCCGCCGCTGTGCTGCGAGCGTCGTTTATCTTCTGGCGCGGCTATAGTTGCGTCAAACATGATCTCGCCCGCCCACAGGACCTGAATTGCATGTTGTTCATCCTGGGCGTGGCGCCGCAGCCAGGGCGGCTCTGGGGTGCGAGGGTAGGGGGGGGGGGGGGGGGGGGCGCGATTTTTTGTCCTGGACAGTGTTGGTTGGGCTGAGGAGAATCAGGAGCTGCTCTACAACCTCACTCCCTACCTGGGCAGCCTCGCAGACATGGCCATGCCATGCGTAGTCGGCGGCGGTTGGAATATTCAGTGCGCCAGCTTTGATGGACAGGCACTGTCGGAGAAATTGCCAAAAGTGTTTTCAGCCCCCGCAGTGGTCGCGCGCTGCGTAACAAATAGTGCTGCCCGCAAAGTGTACGATTACATTCTGGCGTCCGACAGTGCTGCGGCAATGTTGCCACGCCGGCGGTGCATGAGTCCGAAGACCGACGTGTTCACGGGCCTGCAAGTAATTTGCCAGTCGTGAATGGCGACGAGGAGATATGTTTGAGAGTCTCTTGCGAGCCTCGGCAACAGCCTCGATCACCTCGCCTGGGCCGATCACGCTTTCCTCGCGGTGGGGGCGGGGAGCGCGCCGAGATGATCGCGCGCAAAGTAGGTTCCCAAGCGGAGTCGACGCTCGCCGGGGGCCGCGCGGCGACGATGACGGAGGCGGAGCTGCAATGCGGATTTGACGTCGAGGGGGTTCATTCGCGCCCGCATCTTGGCAGAGGAGATCCTGTTCGCACGAGGCGCGCGGAGGCCAGGTGGCGCGCGCCTGCAACGAGACCGCGGCGATCTCGAGGCGGCAGATTTTTTTGCAAATGAGACCACGTGGGCCAAGCGCAGGATGAATGTCAAGGCGTATCGGGCGAAGACGACGTCCGAACATGGTGGCACCATGGGTTGCGCCTCGACATTTCAGCTGCGCGACTCTGCGACGCCGCGGCCAGGGCGAAGAGCGCATTCAACGGCTGGCGGGGGCGGGCGGCGGCTCGGTCGTCGACGCGGCATGTCCCAGACAAGGCGGCGACCGCGGTGCGGCGCATCGAGCAAGTTGAGCCCGTGAGTCGGCTGGCGCTTGCGATCAAAGATTTCCGTCGCTTTTTCAATCGCGCCCACCGCTAGCCGCGCGCGGTGGTAGACGCTGACCCACGAGATTCGCGATTTCTTAATGGCGGGGGCTGTCTTCCGAGGCAGCGGTGGTTGTGGCGAGGCCCCCCGCAGCATCGCTGAGCAAGCGGATGAAGGTCAGGCTGCGCCCGATCGCGAAGGCGCGGGAATTGGTGAGCACGGCCATTCTGAACGCGATTGGCAGGTCCCACGGGTAACCTCGGTTGCAGGCTGCACAGGCCATCATCATGCATGCGCGCCGCAGATTATGGGGCGTAGACATGGCGAGCAGCATGGACATGCCATGGCACACTTTGCACGCAGCTTCCACGCGGGCACAGCGCACGGCCGTCTGTGCAATATGTCTAGGCCGACGCCGCGCGCCACGCCATCGAGACCACCTCGCGGCGCGAGGTGACAGGGCCCGCGAGGAACCGCCCGAGGGCGCTCAGCGACGCGTCCGACGCTGGGCGCGCTGCGCCGCTCTGCAAGCTTGCCGGCGGTGCTAGGCATGTTCCGCTGGCCGGTAGTGTTGCATGTTTGGGATCCTGGTCAGCAGCAGTGGTAGCAAGGATGTATGGGGTCATCGCATCGTCTTCGTCGCGTGCAGCATGTGCGCATAATTTGCGAGGTGCAGCGCAAGTGCTGCGAAATGAGCCTTCGGTGCGCATGGCACCGGGCATGTGGATTTGCTCCAAGAAGGTGCCGTTCCCAGCCCTCATGGCTGAGGCCGGATTTCCTCGTTTCCAATTTCGCGCATCATGTTTGTTGCTGGGGTTGACTTGCTAGCCGGACGACATCGAAGCATGCAGTTGTTTGATATTGCCGATCAGAGCGCCGCAAGGCATTCTAGCAGGCTGCGCGAGTGCCCCGACCTTGTTCAATATTTTGACATTGCGCGCCGCCAGCAATGTCCATGCGAGGCGCGACGCGATCATGCCGGCCGATCAGGTAGATGGCAGTGCCCTGCAATGGGCGGGATCGGACCTCGCCGGCGTTTCCAAGCCCTCTGGGGCAGCCCAGGAGGTTAGGCAGCAGGGCCGGCTTGAGGTTCATCGCGCAACCAGACAAGACGGGGCGGGTCTCCACGTTTCGTCCCGCTTGGAAGTCGCTTGACAAACGAGCTTTGCAGCTACGTCTCACGGCCATGAGGTAGGCCCGAAAATTTGGGCATGAGTTCTCGGGGGTCACGCCGACCAGAGTGCAAGCTGCCATGTCTCTTTGCAGACTCAGTGCTAAGATGCTCCAGGTGATGGTGGTACGCAAGAAGTTGGTGCAAAGGTAGCAGCGTTGCGGATGGCATGACTTTTCCCTCACAGTTGGGCAGTGTTGCGGTGCCGGGGGCTTTGGAGCGGGAGTTTCCGAAGTTGCGACGCGCCGCTGGAACTGTGCGCGGTAGGTATTCTACCACTTCTTTCATCGTGCTAGTGCTAGCCACTCACAAGGATGATTCGCGCGTCCATGTTTGCCATGGTTTTTTGGAGCCAGTCAAGGCGTATGCCAGTTTTGTCTGGCCAGCGCGCATCTTTGGGATGTCTGCAAATAACCGGGGTCAGGGCGAACGAGGAAGCGCACGGACTATCGACCTGTACGCAGACCCGATGACCCATATCTAAGATGTGGCTAGCGCTAGATAGGATCGGCTGGGTAATGTTGTCTAGCACGGCCCCACATGATACTTATTGCGTGCTGGGCACGACGAAGATTCCCCCGTGCGTTTGTGGCCGCGCCACTTAATGAGGGCGCGAAGCGTTGGGAGGCCAACGAGATCATTTCTCGACGCGGGAGCGTTTGCTTCGATGGCGAGAAAATTTGAGTGAGAGCAATGCGTCGTTCTGCTGGTGGAGCCAGGGCGGCTTTTCGAGCTCCCGGACTTGCATGGGCGTTGAGTGCGCTGTGTCCCGGTGGGCTTTGGACTCGAAGTAGAATGGCTGCCACAGGTCATCGCATAGACCCTGGTTGCCCCTGGTGCCCAGGGGGACCTCCTGATACGATAGGTCACCACACACATACTGTTGTCCCAGGCTTCATGAAGATGCCCAGTACGAGGGCCTCGGCGGGGGCCCTGGGCTGAACTCGGTGCGCATGGCGCCTTCACTCCATTGGTGTCACGAGCGTCGGGGTCAGCGACTGAGACCTGTTCGAAACGTGCACGGGCATGCCGCTTTGCCGTCTGCCTCTTCGAAAGGTGGCCATGCACATGCCCGTGATCAAGTGGGAAGACTGGAATCCGGACACGTCCGACTCGGCTAAGGGACTACAGTTGTGGATGTTTTGCGGTTCCGCGGTTCCGGAATGGCTCCAGACTAGCTTGCGATCAGAGTAGATGGGGCGTTGCTGCTATTCGGGAACAGTGGCGTGCCAGTGCATTCGAAGTGTAGGCCGTGCTGAAAGAGTTGCGGTGTTGCAGGCGATGCAGCTCTTGCCGATGATCACGCTCGTGGCCCCAGACCGTTTGCCAGTGCGAAACCAAGTAGCTGCTTGGCACCAAGGCCAGGCAGATGCTCAAGTCTCGTGCGCAGATATTTGGAGGGACGCCGTTGCCGTGGTGGGGCGACGGCCACTATCTCCAATCTGTTGGCTTCCAGTTCCCATGACCTTGGATAAAAATCCGGCTGCTTCGGGTCACCCCTGTTCGAGTTTTTTATTTGGTATGGATGGCTTGATTTGTTTGCTAGCTAAGCAGGGTGCTCTCGAACATGCCTGTCCTGAAAGGGCCGCGTCCCAGTACGAGGTCTTTTTTTTTTTGCCAGATGCAAAGCTTCAAGCCAGGTGTTTCTCGTGGGCGGCGGCAGGGACTGCTGATCGTGATGGCGCGAGTGATCAGCCTGCTAGGTCTCGCAGGCCCTTAGTATGCAGGCCCCGAAGTTGGTCCCAACTGATCATGTGATGGCTCAAAGGATGCACACTTGGGCCAAGGTGCTCCAAGGTAAAAGATGTTTGTGGGTAGCTTTACTTCCTACCAGCCTGGTCACATTGTTCGGCGCCCCATGCACCCCGACCCTATCAGCAGAGTTAGTTGACGGTCGCGGCCCTCAGGTTGCAGAGGCCCCCTCCCACGGCCGTCGGAAGTTGTTCGGATGGCCCCACAGTTGGCCGACGGGACAGGCAATGTTTTGAGCTCGTTCGTGGAGGTTCCTGCTCACAGGTAATCGTGCGTGCCGCCGCCTGATGTTGTCGCCGCGCTCCGA